GAACTGTATGTTTCTCCACGAGATGAAAGTCGTCCCATATTACCGTTTGGAAGTGTATTCTACAATCCCTCGCGGCAACATATTTTGCAGTGCAATGTGCTTGGTGCTTGTAGCAACTTCCGTAGAAGTTTGAAATCCCAAGAACTTCCTTAAGTTTTATCAAAGGAGTTCCATTTAAGAAAGATAGTCAGTAGATACTGAGACTTCGATAGGCCATAAGCTAGTCATTCTCTCGAAAGTCAATGTTATATACTTTCAGATAACATGACATAACGCTTTGTTTCCGGCAAAACTATCTTAACTCCAAGACGATATCTAAAGTTTTACCGAAGTACGCAACGCTTGTTTTCAAAACACAGTGTAGATCTGAGTGAATGGTTTGCGACAACGGTCTTTCATACCTGCCGAAGATTTGACCGATGCATCTTTGCCTAGTAAGACAAAATTCTGTCGATTAGTCGACATACACTAGAGAAAGCGAATGGTGGATGAGCTCACGAGAACATGCTTCTTCTTGAAGGATTCCTTTGCGGACAATGAAATGAGAAGGCGAAACACTGATACAAGACGCATATTTTTTTCTAGATCACTACGGTATGAACACAATACGACTGTATTTCGAGGTGTCATCAGAGCTACTCTGGTGTCATGGACGTTTGTTAGAGGAACTCACATGCGTGCATCTTGAATGGACTTCATGAGAAATGATGATCTGTGACAAATCGGATGATTTCTGGAATGAAATTCGGTGTTCTTTATTCAGCCTTAGTGAAAGTACAAGATGATTTAAGGAACTTTATCGGCTATGACAACAAAGATAGTACATGCATTTTACATGATAGCGACAGAAATTCTTTCGTCTGCAATATTTTTAGCTTAAATTATTGACATGAGTTTTTTTGGCATATTTGCTAATGGTTTTCATGATAAATTAAGATGCAATTATGGCAGTGATATTTTCCGGTGCAATGCATTCGAACCTCTATAAAGCGGTCACCTTCGGGAAAGAACAAGTGACCGTTTAATAGAGGTTGACCGTTTAATAGAGGTTGATCGTTTAATAGAGGTTGACCGTTTAATAGAGGTTGACCGTTTAATAGAGGTTGATCGTTTAATAGAGGTTGACCGTTTAATAGAGGTTGATCGTTTAATAGATGTTGACCGTTTAATAGATGTTGACCGTTTAATAGAGGTCATGTTCTACAGTAAATGCACATGAGAATCGACTTATAGTGAACTCATGAGTGACCGCTTAATGGAAGGTGACCGCTAAATAGAGGGTTACTTAATAGAGGTTCGACTGTATGTCAAAACTGTTTGGACTTCCCATTAAGTCTATAAACAACTTACTTGGAGCCGCCATAAGAGCGCACATTGTACCAAGAACTTTAGTCAACACRAGTGATGACTGTGAAGATAAYTGGGACARACACGCCTCCAAACACCCATCGTTTAGAAGAATCGGTTTGTTAGGAACTGCAAATAGAAATAAAGTCACTCTTACAAGAGAAGAAACTTCTCAAAATGTGTGTTTAAAGAAATACGTGCCCGCGACCCAGGTACTTACGAGGTAAAGCAAGGTTCTTGAGAGCACCAAAGATTGCTTGAATGTACTTAAAAGACTCCTAAAAGATGCACCAGTACATTGATTTGAAATTGTTACAAAAGTAAACATGTTCTTAATCACACAGTGATTGCTGTCTTTCAAGAGAAAGAGTGCAACAATATCGAACCTCTGCAACAAGGCAGGTAACAGTGAAGAACTTACTGGTCTTTGTTTGGCTATTGGCAAGAAGTTCAACAAATCTTTGTGGACACCTTTCTCTACGAGCTTGATGCAGTTGTGATCTGAACGAAAAAAAGATAAAAATCTCTACTGAGACTCACATGAAGTTTACGATTATGACTAAGAATACGATTACTATTAAGATKATGATAAATGAATCTTGTTAATACTTGTGTCAAAACACAAGACACACATAAAACCAGAACATTTTCACATTCAGAAAACGTCATACCTGATCGTCCAAAGTTTCCCAGAGCGAGAGCACCAGAGATTTCTAAATGTTTATTCCTTGAATTCAACCAGTTAGCACATTCCTGGACAACGATTCCATTACCATCCTGGAATAATCTTGCCATGCACTCATCTATAAATTCAGAAAATTAAATAAATATCTACTTGAAATCGCACAGCATGGCTCACACGGTGTTAGCATAGTAAAATATCATGCAACCAATACAGCAATGGAAGGTTAAATATTCAAATTCCAACATTCAGTCCTACCATCAGTGAGGATAGTGACAATCATATCTGAAGCTGTCTCCAGTCGGTATTTCGAGCTCTCGTCATCTTCACGACCTTTGCACGAGTCTACCACGTGAATAAGTGCCTCGGTACATCCAGCATTGACGAGTTCTTTTTTCATGATATCTTAAACAATGAAACAGAAGCGCCAACATTAATGTATATAGATTGCTTGATTGATTGACTTATTGATAGATAGATTGATTGCTTGCTTGCTTGATTGAGTGATTGATTGATTGATCAAGAGCTAACCATCTCCCATAACTAATGGGTTTAGTGTTTCAAGCAAAAGATAAGACAGCTCTTCATCTCTGTAATCTTCCTTGAGGGCTTGTAGGAGTATAGCAGGTCCACCGCTCTCTTTGAAGCTAGTTTTGCCATTAGCTGTTAAAAGACACAAAAAAATTGACCATCTATATTATTGATATAATAAAGATATAAGCTTTTTAATACAAGGCAACCAGTTATTTAAAAGGTTAAAATGGGCCAGAAAGCAGAAATGTTGGACCAACTTATTAGTTTTTGCAATGTAGAAGAATTTTGTACAACTTTTGTAAATTTTAAGGATATTTCCCTTCCTCTGTTAGGATATTACCATTGCAATGGTAATGCAACACAATCATAGGATACTTACCACACTCCATCAGCTCAGAAATTGCAGAAACAGCCATTCTACAAAGGACAGGGTTACTATGGATACTTTGTTGAGTCAGGCCTAATAAATGAGGCATTGCACCACAGTTTACAAAGTCTTCAGCAAGTTCAACTGAAAAAAAAACCAATGCGTATTAAAAGGGACAGTGACCAATGACATAACCATTCATTTCAAGTCCTAGTACCATCATCAGTAGCGAGATTCAGTACACAACCACAGGTAACTACATCCATTCGATTGTCCTTTGTAGGGTCATAGCTCTCATTTAATGATTGCAATTTTCGTGAGATGTCATCAGCACCATTAGCACCCAGTAATGCTTTGCGGCCCAACTCTGCAGAATAACAATCAAGTATTCCAAATTAGGAACGTTATCAAAAACAATGATAAACACCGATCTAAGAATCTATTTGCAAATTTGCGATCCAAATAAGTATATTTATTTGCGAGTGAATGATACATTATTTGCAAGCGGTACTGTTAGTGCACCATAAATTACAAAGGGAAGATTTCCTCACAGGAGGGACAGGAGGAGAAACATTGTATACCAGGTAGAGTTTGCATTCCGATGAGCTCAATTAGCAAAAGAACAGTTGCCTATATCAAGCAATGTTTCACCAAGTATCCAGCACTTTTCCACTTAACCAAGCCAACTATAACTTACTATGTTATCCTATAACCCACTTACCATTATTGTAGCAAATGTTTCCAATTGATCGCAGAGCATGTAACACCACACTTTGCTCATCATTTTCCAAATAATCCAATGCAATAGCTATCCAACCTGCATCCACACAGAAATCTCTCACTTCATCTGAAAAAATCAAAAATAATACCAGTGAATTTAAGGGAACTCCTTAGAGTACAAGAAGGAGCCCACTTACAAACATATATCATATATGGTATCCAGACACGAAATCAATCTAGTAGAAAAACAGCATCTACAGACGTATGCTTTTCTGCTATACTGGCTCCTACCAAGACTGTTTTTATTAAATGATATGTCTGGGCAAACTTACCTGATTTTGCAAGCTCTGCTAAGATATCAAATACTTTTGCTTTGTCAAGAACATTTCTAGCATGCATCAAGGTTTTCTTGAGTAACTCCAATATACTTTGTATTGTAGTGACATTCAATACTTCTATAAAAAATACACATGGAGAAACTTACTGCACTGATTCAGTGAACAGCATTTATCTGAAATGAAATCTTAGGAGAATAGAACTTAAACATAAATATAATTGGATAAAAATAAGAGAAGTTCAACAGACGTCTGTTTTGTTTGATCAGCGAACTCTTTGTGTAAACAGACACATTTTTAAATAATTTCAATATTATTAAAATATGCTTTGACTGGTCAAATCTTGGTCATCTTGAAGTATTTTACATTCTTTAATTCAATGCAACAGAGAAGCTATCCCATCTTTTTTATATAGATTTTATACAACTAAGTGACTTGGCATATTCTAATGTAATGTAAATAGATTGTGAAAGGCTAATTAGTCAAAGGAGGTTAGTATTGAAAGCACTTTTACATAATACAATTATTAATTATATTTATGAATAAAATAATAATAATATGAAAACGAATTGTCAATAAGATGTAATTGAATAAACCATTGTAAGTCAACAAATTTTMTGATTGATGTTTGATTTAATGTAATCAAATAAAGCAACAGACACAATACAACAAAGAGCCCCAGGGYACCCAATGGATTGAAAACTGCACTAMAGTRACAATCAATCATGATTGATAAGTAAAATAGCCAGTGAACCTTCCAGAAACATTTCTTGCTGTGAATTTCATAATGAAAGAACGAAAAATACAAACAAGCCACCTTTAGAAACCATAAATAACGCCAGTATTTCAGTATCCCGATGGGCTTGGTTCAAAATTATGGTCGTTATGAGGGTTTGTCAATTATAAATAATCTTTTATGCTGTTTTCACTAACTCTTAAATAAATACAAGCTACAAACCAATAAATACAAAATAATAAATCAGAGCTCTTTTCTAGAGGGATATCTTAGTTGACTTTCCAGTTTCTTTTTAAACACACCACAGATATTCAATGACAAACCTTGTTTTGATTTTAGGTTCTTAAAGATGGCTTCCTTGTCATCTTCTACGATCAAACCCCTGTTTTCAGCCGTATCGTGGAGCTTTTGAAATAGATCTAGGAGTAATTCATCCATTGTTGACAAGCTTAAAGAATAATACTAGTCATGATAGATAGTCATGCTTCAGGAAAATCGGAAGCAATGAAAATATTCGAAACTCCCTCATTGACAGAGTCCTAGTACGCAGGACCTCCAGGTCAATGTTACCACAGGGAAACCAATCTCCTATTTAAATAGTGCGCGTGTGAGTATTGAAAGCGCGCGCAATTTTTTCCATTGTTCTGTAAGGGCAATATTATTTCCATTGTTTGGAAGTATCGGTTGCAATTAGAATCGTTCATTTTGTTACTGCTGATAGAAAGGATCTTGCAAAACAATTTTAGCTTGAAATGGAAGAGGTTCCAATGTTAATACGATCTGCTAAATCCTACGAAAACTGACACCAAAAAGTCGAAGAAATGGCAGAAAAACATGGCAAAGATACAGAAGAATTCAAAAATCACCAGTGGATTGTCCCTTTTGTAGAAGAAGACCTGAAGAACTGTCTTAAATCAGCGACTAAAGTGTCGCTTTGGTTGAAAGCTCATATTAAGCTGTTCGGGAAAAAGGAAGCAATTCGAAGCCAGTCCACCTCATCGGGCGTCCAACAGGGAACTTCAGTCAAAGAGCCATCTGATGACTTTGTACATGCAGTTTTATCAACAAGACTTTCGGAGTTATAAAAGTCTGAAGAATTAATGTAGAAGTACTTGCAAACAATTTATATTTATAAACAGGAATAGCTCAAATGTGTAGATCTGGTTCAGTGGTAAGGACAAACCAGCTTAAGAAATCATTGAAGAATTATAGACAATTATTTTTCTCAGAGCTCAAGACTGATGCTCAAAAAACTAAGGAGTGTCCTCTCCTTTCCGCTCCCTTCCCCTCACAACCTCGTCCAAAGACACTTAAAAGGGATAAGGGCCTGGAAATGAGCTTGCTCCCCTCCATCTATTTTTCTCCTCGTTTCCTCCGCTGATAAATTAGCAAAACATTTTGAGATTGCAATATATATATATTGTGGGAGCTTCCAATTTGCACTAGAAACACACATGATAGCTTTTACAGAGCGATGTACGTTCAAAAACAACAGAATGACGTCAGAAAGAAGATACTAGCAAAAAGCTGAAATCACGGGCATACGTACTAGGGCGCTTTTGCAAGGGCTTACTAAAAAAAGTGTAAAGCGCCAAATCAAAATCACGATTGAATGTTTTTTCAACCGGTTCGCCGGGGCACAGAAAAAGATTCTTCGGATGATCGTAGCATTCAAAAATGTTCGTTTTCGAAAACATTTTAACAAATCCTTTATGAGATTAAAGGGAAAAAAGAAATGTTATCCCGGCAACAGATATTTTGTTATCATATAAGACTTCTATACTGATAGTTCATGCAAATATATTTTCAGACGTTTGGATTACGTAATAAAAAAGGAACATAACCTTTTAAAAGTGCCTTTGGGCGCGTTAACTAATGGGTCTTTAATTTGCAATCTTTTTAATGCTCCGGATTAAAACAGGTGTAGAGAAAGTGAATGTCAGATCAAGATCGATCAGTCTTTCACAGCCAGTTAGTTTAGACTGATTTTCCAACGTTATATCGAGTTTTTTTTAGATCTGATTACATATGTGCTAAGGCCATCACTTCCTCATATTTACCTCCAATGACATCGATTGTGTTTATAATCTGATGAAAATCCGTCTGTTTGATATACACAAAAGTGACAGGACCCAGCGGACGTGAATAGCAATAAGATAAGATAAGATTAATCGTGACTCAACGAATCAGGAAGTATTATTGTTTACATCAAGCGACGAAAAGTGCCTTTGCCCTTTTGTCCTCTTGACAGTAATCACGTCTGCGACGTTTAGTCGGAACTATTGCACGTTAAAAACAGCACGTTTTTACGTCTACAGGTCAGTAGAACAAGTAGCTTGGTTGGTGATCTATTCTTGAACCGATTATCCAACTACAATAACACTGATAATTCACAAACTTAAAATGGATGACCACACCGAACAAAGACTAGCTCAAAACAATACAAGAACACGGAGAAGTCGAATTTTAAAATGCTTATCAATATTTGTGGGGATTGCTCTTATTGTAGGCTGTTTTGTTATGGCGTCGTATTCATATRTTTTTTTGGACGACTGTAAAGAATCCTCGTGCCACGAGGCCTCGGCCGATGAAATTACTACAGCAAAGGTGTTTCGTTTCATTTCTGCTGGGTTGTTCATTATCGGGGTTTTTATGATCGCCTTTTCGCTGTGTGCTAATAAAGGAGACCGCGAAGSTGACAACACAGGGTTMAGAAGGATCTCACTACACACTGTTGCATGTATTATTCCTGACTCAGCGAAAGAGAAGTCACCATCTATACTCTGCTCAATGCAGGCYTATTGTAACCAAGGGTTAAGTGGTAGTGTTCCAGGACTCAATGGCATTCCCGAACAACCAATTTTTTTAAACATAAATTGTCAAACAGCCAGCAATTACCGATCTAGTGAGTCTATAAGAGAAATGCTTGTAAGGGAAACTGACGAGGAATCTTCGAGAACTCCAACACCTCCTCCCTCATATTTGGAAGCATTGAAAATGCAGATTCCGCAAGAACCACCTTAAAACGTTTTCTCGTCGACAATTTTTAGCACTCATACTATTTAGTATGATATAAGCAATGTCAAGTCAGTTATGGAGAAAGTCTGAAGTTCTTTTTGTTTTCACGAAAATGTTTGAACCATCTTCAGTCTCATTATTGACTACATTGATCAGACATTGACATAAGGATCCATATAGCATGAGTGATGTTTTACTGTAAACCCCCCAATTTTCATAGTGAGATGGTATTAGCCAATTAACGCGCGCTTTAATTTACCAACCAACATAGCATCTTTGAACACTTCATAAACTACGGTATGTATAAAGGAGCTCAAATTTTCGTAGACCATAATTATCAATAAGTTTTGTTTGAAACATAAACTTTGTTTGCAGTTATCTTAAGGTAACTTAAACCTTATGCTAATGAAAAAACGATCTACCTATAAGAAAGCACTTAACGAAATGACAGGAAACAGGGACATAAGACTCCATCATTGCTTTATAAACGGACCATGACATAAATCTGGCAACTTTGGCAACTCAAAACAAGTTATACAAATACTTAGGACAACCCGAAGATCGGCCTGTGATTGGTTAAAAAGTATCGACAACGTTATCACTTATAACACACTAACTTGAGGTTTATGGAAATATTATGATTTATCGTCTAAATGGATAGACTGTATCAACTAGTCGATTTTATATGTTCTCGAAATTTCTAAAATCGAAATTTGACTTATTTTTGCATAATATTAAATCCACAGTTCATTTTGGTTCTCCCTCTGTTACACGAACTTTGTTTTGGAAAGAGTGCAATATTCAAACAATTATCAGCTACACTTGTGTTTCTCTAACAGTTAACCGCTTAGGTAATTAGTAGACCGGTACTGGCTCGCTCTGAGTCTCCCGCCGAAACTCAAAATAAAACCATATCGTTGTTAATAAATTTATTCCAGATTCAAAATGGCTGTGATTGCAGGAACGCACACTCGAACAGAATTATGGGTATACAGTGACCGCTGAGCGGTCAAATATGTGGGGGGGCCGGTGAGCGCCGAAGGCACGATTTTTATAGGGGGTCCGGAGGCATGCGTAGTTGATTGTTTCCAACTTGATGCCGTCTCACAGTATAGTCGAGCTCTGATCATCGATTTTTTGTATTTTTTATTTTAATCTTACCGATTTCATTTATTATTTATTTTTCGGAAGCAAAAAGTGGGCCCTGTTATATGATGCTAGTGGAGAGCTCGGCAGGTACATACAAAACAATAACTTGTTGATGAGTGAGTGATCTTCGTGCATATTCTGTACCCATAGTGCCTTTCTGTCGTGCAGTCTCCTTTSTTTTGGACCTAATCGGCTAACKCGTTGCTATGTACGTTCAAATTCAAATCCTGTGCGAAAAAGTAATTTTGTTTCTAAGAATTCAACTGTGAAATGAAAATACAACGAACTATGAAACTTACTCCCGGGTGGTTTGAATTAGGTGGAAACGCCGTTTATAGAAACGCGTCAGCCGATTCGGTTTATCCTTTTCAGTTTGTTTCGTCCAATGATTTGCTATAGGTTCTAGCATGGTTTCTTCACGTTGCTATGTACGTTCAAATTCAAATCCTGTGCGAAAAAGTAATTTTGTTTCTAAGAATTCAACTGTGAAATGAAAATACAACGAACTATGAAACTTACTCCCGGGTGGTTTGAATTAGGTGGAAACGCCGTTTATAGAAACGCGTCAGCCGATTCGGTTTATCCTTTTCAGTTTGTTTCGTCCAATGATTTGCTATAGGTTCTAGCATGGTTTCTTCAAAGTTTTCATACACTCCTTCCTGAGTTCTCTAAATGACAGTTTGTTGACAGTGAGTGATCTTTGTGGATATTCCCTACCCATAGTGCCTTTCTGTCGTGCAGTCTCCTTTCCTTTCGAAAATCCTCTTCAGTTCAGTTTTGTGGATATTCCCTACCCATAGTGCCTTTCTGTCGTGCAGTCTCCTTTCCTTTCGAAAATCCTCTTCAGTTCAGTTTWWCCGTCAGTTTGATWTAGTTTCTAGCATAGTTTCTTCAAGGTTTTCAGACACTCCTTCCTGAGTTCTCTAAATCTCCAAAAGTAGACTAGAGGATTGAGTAGTTTCTAGCATAGTTTCTTCAAGGTTTTCAGACACTCCTTCCTGAGTTCTCTAAATCTCCAAAAGTAGACTAGAGGATTGAGAAACGAATTGATGCATAATCCTGTAATCGTGACACTCCAAGCAACTACGACCTCGTCAGTCATACCAATAGCGACTACAGCAAAAGATAGTAAGAAATACGGAGCGTAGCACAAGACAAGTAAGACAACAATCAAAAACAGAGTCAACATAGTGTATCTATACTTAGCCAGCTTGAACTTCGGYGTTACACATTTARGATTTGGAGTGGAGTTTTCCTTCGAGTCGGAAAACAACCGATTTGTCGACAATTCTAATGGTCGTTCGTCGGTAAACTTTCCTTCTTCCCGCCCCGTTTGGTGTTCTGGATCATTCTCTTCTTTCCTTTTAGGAACTTTTCCTGTTGGGCGTAYTTGAGTTCTGCCCAGAAAAGTCTTTTTTTCAATTTCAAAAAGAGCTTTTAAAGACAAAGTGCAGCAGAGAAATATCGCCCCAAAAGTTGCAACACCGACGATGATAACCGTACCATGAAGKACTCGAGGCTTTATCAACACACTTGTAACACTCCACACAATAGCAAYGCTCCATAAAAAGAAAACAACTTTGATAGCACGACTGTTTGTAACCYTATGTCTATACAGAAGACCCCATCGAATCGCTAAATATCTATCAATGCAAAGCGCTGTGACAGTAAACTTAGCCTGATTTTCAGACGGGGCCTGGGTCCTACGCTTCACTCCACCGGGAAGTGGGGGTGGAGTGAAGCGTAGGACCCAGGCCCCGTCTGAAAATCAGGCTACAGTAAACTCCGACGCGCTAAAAAACGCAAAACCAGTAGCAAAAAAGACGTCAAAATTGCTACAAATATTAGCAGACTTTTCTGTTAGTTCTATTATTTTCCAATATGAATTTAAAGAAGATGTTATCAACCCTGTTCCAATGTCAGTACATGCTAGACTACATATCAAGATAAAAGATGGCGTTCGAAGGGATTTTGTCTTCAGGATGGTCCAAAAAATYAGTGCGTTTGACAATATTGTTGGTACCACTAAGGCTACTTGCACTGACGATGTTACAATCTTAAKAATTTGATCGTAGTGTCCAAGTTCTTCGTTGTATGGTTCAAATACATACACTGGAGGACAGCTTATGTTCATGGTTGAAACTCTCAAACAGCCGCTTTTGTAGAAGAAAAATCTCTTGATTTACATTATAAACATAGCAGTCAGCWCATAACTAAAACCTGATAACTTACAGTTTCGTTTTGAATTCATCTCAGTTATCAGTTCTGAAGAAACAGAAGCAAGAATATTCGTAGAGCTTTAAAACATTCGTCGGTTATACCAAGCGTGTTAATTCATCGCAAATGTACGATAACTAACTGGGATGTGAAAGCTAGTCGGTGGATAAGTGTCTCACCACCACATTGACACAGGTGAACACTTACTGACCTTGCGTTTTCATAAAGCAGCGGATATCAAGAAAAAGGACAATGGAATTTCTCAAGAGGTTTTTACAATAATGTGAAATGACCCCGACTGCACTTAGAATATGATCGTTCTT